AACGCATGCACACACACTTTATGATTCCAGCCACTTTTTCAGCTTCCAATTATTAAAAAGGACACTAAACTCAGCAGTTGAATCTTAAAAATGCATTCAGGTACCCTATTAACAAAAATATATCTTATTTGTCTATCACTCAGCTGCAGGACCTCAAATCATCTCTGAATTGGTGCAGACACTGTCCTTCCTCCCCATGGCCCCTGTGTGTGTTGTAAAGTAGCCACTGCTCCAAGCTCACTCCTGTGGTGGACTACAATCCCATGTATAGTTTACCATATTAAAAAGAAAAAGGTACATGAATGCATTTTTAAAGTGACATTAAAGGATAATTTTTTCCACTCCCCCCAATGTTAATGTCAGCACTTACCTTAAATGATGTCTCTTAATCCGATCTTTCCTGAGGTTTTCAGCTGTCCCTCCAGCGGTGAGGCCGGTCTCCGATCCAGCGCTGACTCCTCTCTGCTTGCTGATCCCACGGTGTCTGCATGCGGGTGAACGTGCCCATGCACTTACCTTGCTGCTTGATGGCAGTAGATATAGGCAAAAAACGGGAGGGTTTAGAACCCCTTTAAGATGTAACTGCTGAATTAAGTGTCACTTTAGAAAGGTGTACCTATACACTAAATACAGTCATGGCCAAAAATATTGGCACCCCTGCATTTCTGTCATATAATGCACCACTTTGTGCAGAAAATTGTTGCAATTACAAATGTTTAGGCATTTTCAGGTTTATTTCTTTTCATTGTATTGGAGAAGAAAAAGAAAAAAGCCAAATATGACACATTCCACGCAAAACTCCAAAAATGGACTGGACAAAATTATTGGCACCTTCAAATAATATTTGGTAGCACAGCCCTTGGAAAAAATAACTGAAATAAATCGCTTCCTGTAACCATCAATGAGTTTCTTACACCTCTCTACAGGAATTTTGGACCACTCTTCTTTCGCCAACTGCTCCAGGTCTCTCAGAGAACTCTCGACAGGTGCTCTATGGGATTCAGATCTGGATTTATTGCTGGCCAGTCCAGTACTCTCCAGCGCTTTGTATGAAACCATTTCTGGGTGCTTTTTGACGTGTGCTTTGGGTCATTGTCCTGCTGCATGACCTCTGATGGAGACCCAACCTTCTGACACTGGGCCCTACATTGCACCCCAGAATTCTTTGGTAGTCTTTAGATTTCATAATGCCATGCACGCAGTTAAGACATCCAGTGCTTGAAGCAGCAAAGCAACCTCAAAACATCAGTGAACCTCCACCATGTGTGACTGTAGGGACAGTATTTTTTTCTTTAAAAAGGAGAACTATGAGGTGAGTGCTTTTCACTCACCTCATAGTTCTAGCCGGCCTGTGACAATGAGACTGTCACAGGTCGGCTCGGTAGATCGGGAGGTGAGCGAACACATACCGGGGGGGGGGATTCCCCTCTCCGATCTGCCAGCGCTGACTGGCGGAACGGACGGGCGAGGGGGCGGGTACAGCTGGCTCTGCCTCTAGATAGAGCCAGCTGTCACTCACGCAGCTGGGCGGATCCCGTCATCTAAGTCGGGATCCGCTCAGGCGTCTTAGTATACCGCGGTATACTGAGCTTAGGGTAACGGGAGGACCCTAGTTTGTGTCCTCCCGTTACCCTAAGGAGAACTATGGGGAAAAACACTGACCCCATAGTTCTCCTTTAACCACTTCCCGGCCGTTGTAAAAAAGCCGGCCAGGAGCTCTTTAGATCTGAGCGGGCGTCTTTAGACGTTCGCTCAGACACGCCCGTGCGCGCGGGAAATGCCCATTATTTGAAGACAGGCAGCGATGCCCATTAATATACAAGCGATCCGCCAGCTATAGAACCGGCCGATCGCTTTTATGAGGTCCCGTGATGTGCGCCCTCCCCGGATCCCCCCCTCCCGCTGTGAGCCCGGGACCAGCATACGGTCTCTGTCACAGGGGATCAGAAGGAGCTCGGTACACGAGCTCCCTCGGGTCCCCTCTCCGCGGGCAGAATGCGGAACTGAGGTAGATTACATCACATTCTTGTGTCATTCTCCAGCTTCAGATGCTGGAGAGAAGCTGTTGAAGCAGATCTCTGCTTTATCAGCTTCTTCAGGGGGGGTCCTAGGTGACATTAGGGGTCTTGGAGACCCCTGATGTCTCCATAAAGAGGACCGGTCACATATTTTGCTATCAAATAAGGGGGTTTTCTAACCCCCCTATGTGATAGCAAAATAGGAATAAAAATTTAAGTTTCCCCCCCAAAATGTAAAAGTTACAAATAAAAGAGAATTAAATCATTTTTTTCTTCCTAAAGTCCCCCCCATACATACACGCATGCAAACAGGCGTCGGGTGCGCATACGTGTGAAAACGACAATTTCGCCCATTATGGCGCACGTTACATATCGTCGTGAACGTCGGAATGAGAGCAATAATTTTAGGGCCATCAATCACTGATAACACTAAACTGATGAGCTGTAAAAGCTTTTAAAGCGTCGCCTGTGGCTAATTTTGGGTATTGTAGTTTTTTGCGATTTCGCGGGTGCGCACAATTTTAAAGCATGACATGTTTGGTGTCTATTTACCCGACGTGACCCCGTCTTTTATATTTTACCAAAAATATGGGTAATAATCAGTTTCCCAACATAATGGGGGGGAAAAAAATAAATCCCTAATATAGTAAAAAATAAAAACCCCTGTAGTGATTAAATACCACCAAAAGAAAGCTCTATCTGTCCCCCAAAAATGGTATAAAATTCATTTCAGTACAGCGTTGCATGATGGAATAAACGTCAGTCAAAGTACCGCAGCGCTGAATACTGAAAAATGGCCTGGCCAGGAAGGGGGTCTAAACACCTGGTTTTGAAGTGGTTAAATGCCTCATTTCTTTTTCTGGAAACAGTAGAATGATGGGCTTTACCAAAAAGCTGTTCATTTTGTGTCATAGCAAAAAGAAAATAAACATGAGAATGCCTAAACATTTGTAATTGCAACAGTTTTCTGCGCAAAGTGGTGCATTATCTGACCGAAATGCAGTGTACCTACTGCATGTAGGTACACTATAAATATAATTTCCCGAGCTGACAAAGCGGTAGAAGGGAACCAATAGGAGCATAGAATGATGCTGACTGGCAAATCAGTAAAAACAGAAAGTAACAGAACAAATTCTTTAGGAAGTACACTCCCAGAGAACCCAAATAAGAGGCGCATAAAAACGTTGCCTGCATCTGAGAGAACTCAGATTAAAAAGGTAAATTAAGCAAACTTCCTGTTTTCAACATGCTAGAAGACTCTCTGAAGGTTTTACCTCAAGCCTGGAGCCATCAAATAAAATATGAACACACACATACAGTCACTTTCCTATATAAATCTTCTTGATGAAAAACATGCAAATTATCTACCTTTGCTGACCTTTTGTGCAACTACTACCGGCTTAAATAGTTCATTCAATTCTTGAATTTCTTTCTTTTTGTCATCTTTTTTCGTTTTCTTGTCACCCTCAGTTTGTGCAATCTATAAAAACAGCCAAGCATAGATTAATTTTCAAAGAATGTAAAGCAAAAACAATTATATATGGACTCCAGTACCATTAATGCAGAAAAAAAATAAGCAAAAACAAGCAATGTGCCAAAAAACCCTAAAATGAATCACTAAAACAAACTCCCACTCAACTTACCAGCCGAGGGTTCTGCTGGCCAGACTTCACTTGATGAGTAACATTTTTGATGAATTTTTGCTGCTTGGCACCTTTCTTGTTCTTTAGACCAAATGTTTTGTCCTATAAATAAAGAAATAATCCATGATTAGTGCTGCAACAATTATTCGATTAAAATCGTTTTCCATCATTGATTCGTCGGCTATCAATTAGAAAGCCTGTTTGCAGCTCCATACACGAGCTACGCACGCCGCGTATGGCACACCCACCGCACACACCCCCACAGAGCACGCTGCTGCAGCGACTTACAAGGGTTCAAAAACGGGTAAGGGGGACCTGTTTTAATATTTACTGTTTCAAAAAAAACACCAGCAGCTATAGAGGAACAACAAATCCCAGCAATAATACATGATACAGGGTGTTTAATGTATTATTGCTGGCATTTGTTGTTCCTCTATAGCTGCCGGTGTTCTGCAGTGTGCCGCTGTATTATACATTGTATTGTGCATGGTAGTCTGCATTGTATAATACAGCGGCACACTGCAGAATACCATGCACAATACACTGCAGAATACCACCAGCTATAGAGAAACACCAAATGCCAGCAATAATATATTAAGCAGCCTGTATAATGTATTGCTGGCATTTGTTGTTCCTCTATAACTGGTCAGTGGTATTCTGCATTGCACCGTATAATCATTATACAGCGCACTGCAGAATGCCACCAGCTATAGAGGACTACAAATCCCAGCAACAATACATTATATACAACGCAATGCAGAATACCAGCAGCTACAGAGGACTACAAATCCCAGCAAAAGTACATTATAGCATAATGTATTATTGCTGGCATTTGATGTATTCCTATATAGCTGCTGGTATTCTGCATTGCGCCGTATAATCATTATACAGCACACTGCCGAATACCACCAGCGTTAGAGGACTACAAATCCCTGCAATAATACATTATATACAACACAATGCAGAATTTAATTTAATATACAATGCTGGGAAGGGGGGGCGGGGG